AGCCTCGGTCATCACAGCCGTCCTCAGGCCCGTGAGAGAAAATTCTCAGCTTATCGGCGCGCATCAAGGCAGAGCCTTGGGTGGGGCAGCGGATGGAGGCGGAGTGGCCAAGGAGGCGGTCAGGACGCCAGGTGGCATCTTCTCCAGGCTGGGGACGGTGGCCCTCCCCTCGAGTCTCCCTCCTCCTGAGTTTCCAGAGGGGGTCCCCGGGTCCATCATGGCCGGGTGGTCAGAGAGGGCTCCAGGCGTGGCTGAGTCCGTGTGGGCCCTGGCGGGGGCAGGTCTCATCCCAGCAGTCGCTGACGATGGCAGACAGGACAGACATTGCGCTGGAACGTGCCGCGTCGTGAGCTCGTGAAATATCCTGACGTCAAGCCCCTGTCGTAATGAGACGCCAGATGGGCAGGGGGCTGCTCTGAACTTCCAGAAGTGTCCCCGTGCGGAGGATCTGAGCCTCGGGGTTCAGACAGGGACGGGTGACCGGGTGTCCAGATGGCCCTCTGATGCCTGGAGAAAGTGGGGTGAGGAGCGAGGGAGTGGCCCCAGGTCACCGTCTGTCACAGGCCGATGGGCCGTGACACTGGCTGTCCTCAGGCGCAGCAAAGCCTGGAGTGCTGAGGTTAAGGGGAGGGCACAGGCAGACCCCGCTGAGCCCCTCGCCAAGCTGGAGCCTCAGGTGGTAGCTCCTGCCCCAAAACAGCAGGCCGTTCTCTCTCTCCTGTCACCCGCCTTAAGGTCTGCGGTGGCCTCTTTGACACCTCCCTCTTGCTATCCATGTCTATGCTCAGGCATGGCACACTGAGAGGAATCCATGATGGCCACGTACAGTTGTGCAGGTTGCTCATTGCACAAGGGTGTCGCTCCAAGGGGATGAGCAGGGTGTGGAAACCAGTCCATTCTGTTTGCCGAATGCGACTGTGTCCGCTTGGAGAGGAGGGACCTTTTTCCAATTCACACGAAGATTCTATCCTCGGGCCAAGCCACGTGTGTGCGGAGCAATGTCCACCTACAGGGGGCCCCCGTGGACCAGCAGTGTGGTGGACAGAGGCCTCCTGCTGCGCTCCACGCAGGCGCGTGTCCCCAGTACACGCATCTTGGCCCTGTCCCCTGCTTCCCTCCGTCTGCACTCCTCTGCCCTCTGCCTGCACGCAGGGCAGGAGGGGCGGGGCTGGGACCTGGGCCGTGGGCCCTTTTCTCTCCCCAGCAGGGTGGCCTTCAGAGTCCCCCTGGCTCCGCCTCAGCTGCATCGTCACCCACTTCTGCCTCTCCCGTCCCCGATCTCTGCAGCAACTCCCTCTCTCCGGGTGAGCCGTGCTTCCCAGCTGCCCGCTGCTCTCGCCCGCCCCTGTGGGTGCTCGAAGGCCCCTCCCTTCCCCACCCGGCTCCCCCTGGAAAGAGGCCACAGCCTGGTGACGCGTGGAGGCCCAGCTTCTCCTGGGCCTCAACCGTGGCCGGTGGCACCCAGCGACACCATGGCAGGAGGTGTGGCTGCTACGCAGGACTGGACCCTCGCGGCGGGTCTCTGACCGCCTGCCCAGGAATGCCCGTCCCGGAGAGGGTGCATCAGATGGTATCAATTACAATACCCAGTGATGGCCCAACGGCCATCGCTCGTGGAGCACTTCCTGCGAGCCAGCAGCTACTAAGTGCCTTTGTGATCGCACTGACATTTCCAGCAGTTCTATGAGGTTTAGCATCATGATTACACCCCTTTTACAGATGGGTAGATCGAGGCAGAGAGCAGTGAACTAACTTGTCCAAGGTCACACCGGTTAACAAAAGCTACTTTTGTTTTTGTCTTTTATTTTGTTTTTGCTTCCCCCACCCCCGTTTTTATCTTTAAAAGATAGGGACTCTTTTTTTTTTAAGCACAACATTACGATAATATTATGTCATGTTGACAGTGGTTTCTGAGTAAGTGTCCGAAGTACCGTACACACAGCTGTCAGGATTTGGACCCAGGCAGCCGGTCCCAGCACCTGTCTTTGACCGTGAAACCACCTTGCCTGTCTGGGCTGGTGGGACAGGTACATGCACAGCTGTCCTGTCTCGGATCCCAGCCCCTTGGAGGCTGCAGGAACGGCTCTGGCGACCCCAAACCTCATGGACGGGAGAAGGAAGACATGGGGTGGTTCTTACCTTGACACGTGTTCTCATTCTCACTGTGGAACGTTTTTGGCCCAGAGGTGGGCGCATATCCTGGGCTGCATGTGCAGTAGTAGCTCCCTTCCACGTTCTGGCAGTCTGCGAGTTTTCCGCAGAACACCTTCGTGGGTGGCGCACACTCATTGATGTCTGGAACACAACAGGGCAAAAGGTCACCTCCCAAAGGTGTGAGTTCCCTCAGGGCAGAGACTCCCACCCTGACTCCCCAGTATGAAGCCTGGTGCTTAGTAAGTATCTTTTAGAAAGAATCCTGAGCTGTGCTGTAGCTGGAGCAAGCCATTCCTGAAGGCCACTCGGTCAGCTCTGCACATCCCAGTTCTCGGGCTGGCATACTGGATTTGGACATTGTGGACAGTGCGGAGGTGGGGGATGGGCAGGAAGCTCAGCATTCCCCTCCCCAGTCTTAAGGGCAAATTGAGGCACAGACCCGAGATTCCTTGGGAACCAACTCCTTTCTCCAGGAAGCCATGCTTGTTCACTCCATACTTCTCCACCTTCGTTTATTTTTTCTTTCTCTTTTCTCTGGCCAGGATGACAGTCCCAAGGCCAAGGGCCCCTAACTACCACCCACGACCCCACTGGCGCTGGGCAACGCCTCATAATCTCTGATGTGCCCCCGCACCGTCCCCCGAGCCTCTGTACCATCGCAAGTCACCGTGGGGTCGGTGAAGATCTCTTCAGACGAGGAGACGAATCCCGGCTTGCAGCGACAGGCATTGCGATCGACACATGTGGCGTTCGGAGGGCACCACCGGGCACAGCCTGTGGGGGCAGGGGGCAGGGGGCACGCTCAGAAGGTGACGTGGCGCCAGGGGCCGGGGAGAGGGGGCAACGTGGTCCCTAGAGGACACGGGGGTGGGGGAGGTGGGGGCAGCCCCGAGCGTCCCCTGGATGAGGCCTCTCACCCGCTGGGCTGAGGGGTGAGGGGTGCCAGGTGCCAGGCGGGGGTCCAGGGCCCCTTCCCGGGCTCTGGCTGCGGACCGCGCAGACTCACCCCCGGAGTTCTGCGATTCGGCTTCCGACAGAGTCAGCAAGACACACAGCGCTGCAACAGAGAGAGGGAGGGGGTCAGAGAGGACCCCAGAGCCCGGGAAAAGAGGCCTAAGGGTGACGCATTTGGGGGCAGGGGGTCCCAGCCCCTCGCAGGCTCAAATCCCATCCTTTGCTCAAAGGGAGAGAGAACAATCGGCATGTCCCTGGGATCCAACGCCCACGGCCAGAGGGTCTGTCACTTGGCGCCTTCCGGGTGGGTTTTCAGGAACCGGGGAGTGGGGAGGGGACTCCGAGCCCGCGTGGGTCTCACTCAGGCTGCCAGCTCTTCCGGCCTGGGGCTGTGTGGGCAGCGGCTCAGAGGACAGACTGGAGCCGCGTGGCCCTGGTTCAAATCCCTCCCCGCTCTCTGCCTCAGTCTCCCCTTCTGT